GCAGTTTTCCTTCAGTAAATTATCAGGAAAATCACATCCTACTGAAAAGTGGTAAATATAGGTGTAATATTGACTAGAAATCATAGTAAAGTCAATATAGAATTTTATCCGTAGACGATCTATACATCAGGTGAGATCGTTGGGGGGTGTTTATTGTTGTTTAGACAGTGAACAATCATATATTTGGCAACCAAAACACGGTCAGTACGCAAATCAGCACAAACTCTAATATCGTTATTGGACGTAGGAAACTGGTTACATAAGGTGATCCAGCTCCGCTCCTTCAGCGCTGTGCCTAGTGACACGTCTGTGCCCTAACTTACTGACTGGCAATCAGAACCGAAGGGGGGGGGTAGCTCTAGTTGATTTTACTACTGGGGTGTAACCTATGTACAAGTGGGATATATATATGGTTACAGCGGAGATGGGTCCGCAATTGGCGGAGCCGAACGGAGCGGAGCTAACGGGGTTTAAACATTAGCCGACTGAATATTACCGACAAGTCGGTTTGCGGGGTTAGCGGAAAGGCAGGCGATAACCCAGAAACGGAAAGGAGGGATAGGCCCAAAGGTGGGCTCTGCAGGGCAGGCGAGTGTATTGCCCAGCGGAGGCAGGGGTGCGCTAGCGGACGTCGGAGCTGTCTGGAAGTCTTCGGGGCTCCATACTTAGGGAGGTGTAGGTAATAAATTGAAATGAGGGGGTGGTGACCATCGAGGGGTGCTGAGAGGATTGCGGAATACGGGGGCTCCGAGGTTAGTGAGGGAGGAGCGGAGTTGGAACGGAGGGATCGGAGGAACCGGAAGTCGATGGCCGGGGATGGATATGACACGGACTTTTGATGTTGCCCTTCCCATTATTGGATATCTCATTAATGCGTGATCATTTTATTATGAAAATTTGGGTGGACTAATATTAGATTCCTTCCTTTCTAATGGGCTATCAAGCTCGTTTTGGTCGTTACTGGTTGTTCTTCATGCTTGCTTTTTAAACGTTGTCCTCGTTTTCCAGGAGTTTTAGTCATATCTCCGTCGTTTATCGGTAGTTTTCCCTGTAATTACTTTCATTGGGTCCGTTTGGGGGACATCTACATTTCCTATTATAAACACGACTTTGAATTTTGCATTAGCTTCTGAGGAATCCTTGTTCCGTGGTACTTCCATCCTCGGCTATGTGTGCGGACGTGGGAAAGTAGTTTCTGTGGAGGTTCTCCGGCTGTTTTTATAGTCAAATATTGGTCGATTGTCCTAATTCTTGGTTTAATATTTGCTATAAATTCCCCCGAGAATTCCGTCTCGTTGATGCTAAGCTTGAAGTATTTTTGCTAATTTTCTTTCTTCCATTTTATCGTATGTAGTCATAATAGTTCATAAAATCTCGTTAAAATTCAGGTCCTTCTATTTTCTCATATCTACTTGTCATATGGGGTTTTGTGATTTATCTGGCATATTCCATAATGGGTTTCCATAGTGTGACCGTTATTTCTCCTACAGCGCATTATGCACTTTCATGGTCAGCTGATGGCCCATGTGTACCAGCGCAATGATACCCCCTCACCAATGGATGACTCGCAGGATGTTCAGATGTACCTAGGGGGTCATGATGGAACATACAGCGAAGTGGATAATAATGAGTGTGACGGACCGATCATTAATCCCTTATTGTTTGCTGTGTCTCAGACAACACATGTCCACACGCCACTGCAACCTTCTGGCTCAGATGCTGCAACAGTCAACGCTTGTTGTCAAACTCCTACATTCCCTCCTTCCTACTCTCAGGCAAAGAAGCACGCTGTTGATGACCTGGAACATATCATGTCATTCTCCTCATCCTCAAATTCTATCATATCTTCCTCACCTCTTTGTTCAACCTTTAAACTACCCAAACGCACATATGGGCACCTCAGCGATCTTCCTCCTATCAATTGGGATCTGATACATGATCACAACTCAGAGCACAAGACTCACCCTGAATTGATGAAGGAGATCGACGAAATGCAACACGAGTTTTGGAAGGCAAAGACACTGGTTGTTAGAACTTGCGGATTCGGACGACTCCGGAATGGAATCGGAGACTTAGCGTGGAAGGACCTCGGCCTCAGCGACTCAGGCGGAGCACTGTGCCATTGCTGGTTGTCCTAGGGGTCCCTAATTTCGGATCTAGCAGAGGGAAAGTCTCTTGGGGGGAATTCAGGTCGATTTCGGACTGAGGTTACAAGTTACTAGGTACATTGTATATAAGGAGGGGTCCGGAATCAAAAGGAACAAGGGTAGGACAAAAGGAGACAAAGGGAGATGGAAAGAGGAACAACACCGAGGGTCAAGTGTTTGACTCAATGGTGTTTCCCAAGGGAGGAATGAAGGGCCAAGGCCCAAGAAGGAAGGAAGGAGGATGGGAGTCGGGAATGGCTAGCTGACTGAATAGAAAGGAAGCAGCAGCCCAAATAGGAATGAGGGAGAATAGCGGAATTGAAATGGACAATGCAATAGTTGCAAGGTCCGGAGTAAGTCCGGAAAGTCCGAACTCGGAGGTTAAACTCCGGAATATTGGCAAAGGTAATTAAATGGAATGAGCTAACCAATACAATGGGTATAAGCGGAGGTGGGGTCAAAGTCCAAGGTCGGAGCTAAGACCGGAGGTTCCGGAGACGAGACGTGAACGGGATACCGGAGTGGAGGTCCGGAGTCGGGAGCATAGGTTTTGCGTACTCATCTGGAAGGTGTCGAGGTTGGGGTCGGACCCGGAATGTTCCGGAGTCGGACCGAAGGTGGTGTCCGAGCCGGAGGTGGGATAACCTCTTGGGAGTCGGCAAGGAGAAGGTGACGGAAGGGAAGTAGGGCTCCGGAAGTTGGAGTTCGGAGTTCCGGGAGCCCGGAGCGGAGGTCGGGATTGTATGGATATGACACTGGTAGAAAGAGCCGTTAATGTGGCGGATGCAGCAAATGTCCAGTTGGCATTGGGAGGAACGTATGTGTCTAAATCACAGACACAACTTCTAGTGCAGGAGGAATTGGAAAAGTCAAAAGAGAAAGAGGAAGGTGGAAGTATCAAGGGAACGTTCAGCCGCATTGTGACACATGAAGGTTTTTTGAGGGATCAAGCTGAGTGCACTCAACGGAGGCTGGATGAGGCCGAGCTGGAGAAGCTGAAGGAGGAGGCCAAGGAGGGATGGAGAAAGTTCAATGAGACACAGAAAGCAGAGGTGGCAAAATGGCGAGAGGAAAAAGCGGGCTTAGTTGCGCTCAAACAAAGAGTGCCAGCAAAGCCATCGGAAATCCAAATGAGGGGTTGGATGGCTCAGAATTATCCACAGCTCCAGCAGAACAAGCCCCCTGCAATGCCGGAGGTGCCAGGGTGTGCTGAACAAGTGGCTGATGGGGTCAGCAGGGGTCCAACATGAGCATGCAAACGCACTGTCACACTCTGTCACAGGATACCACTGAGGGGTGAAAGCGCCCATTTCATACTCACTCCCATACTCACTTCATAACAGGACTCCACTCAAAATATTGCCGGCCACTGATTCATATTTATGTTCTTCATGTTACCCAAATTTATCAATTCTTTTCAGGAACTTCGTTACACTGAGGCCCGGATTAGTGAAATCCACACCATTGGGGGGTGAATGACTGTATATACAAGGTAAAACTGGGCGTGAATTCCCTAATTGAAAGTTTTAGCATATATGAGCATCTGACAGTGAAAGCCTGCCACAGATTTTCACTGATGCCATGATGATTGGATTGTAAATATCGAATGCATGAAGGAGTTGAATATTGAAAAAGAAGTAGCGGAGTCGGTGTGAATAGCCAAGTGCTTCGTCGGTGGCGGTGTTCTAGAAGCAGCCTGGCAAATATCCGGAGGCAAACAAAAACAACGCAGATCACTGTTATCCTGCATATTCCCTCCTGAGCTTGCATCCACATGATACATGTATCTCTAGAGTCTAGCAAGAGCCTGTTTGATGACATTATTTGCCTTCAACTGCTTCGCTCTTCACCAGAACAAGTTGTGACCCTGACTGGTTCAGGGATTTCATGTGCCTCAGGAATCAAGGTTCGCAATTTCCCACTTCATTGAAAAGAAGCAGGACCCAGCTGGCCCAGGACTTCCATTCCAGCACAGGTCTCTACAAGAGTGGTAGTCTCAGGAATGCATTTCGCACTTGCATGCAATCTCACATTCCACATGCTAAGGAACAGCTCCAGATGCTGGGCACCTTGTCAGAGCTTTGCCTACATGCACAACCCAATGCAACACACCACCTCCTTGTCCACCTCTTCCACTCAAACTCCTTTGCTGCTCTTATACACAAAATGTGGATGATCTTGATGCCAAGGCAGGCCTTCCTCAAATGGATGATAATGGCAGGCGGGTTCATGTTACTCTTCATGGCTCTCTCAAGTATGGTCTTCATATCTGGTGTTCTTGTCAGGGTTCAGCACCCTGCCTTAGGGTGCCCCGGACTCCCCACCTACTTTACCCCCTTTTATTCTTTGACTGTTGCCTTGTTGTTGCCTTTGTGTGTTGTGTACACGCGCGCACGGGATAGTGTGGGAACTTTCTGAGCGAGCAGCTCGCCCAGAATGTTCCCACGGGTCACAGCCACAGTTCTGGGTGAGCAACTTGCCCAGAACGTTCCCACGCTTACTGGGCACTGCCACCTGGATGTTCCCTCCGGGTCACACTACACAACTCTAGGAGCTGTATAGTTGTGGGCATGTGACCCATTCCTTTATATAGCAACCATGCGGGGAGATGAGACCTTTACCCTTCTTCTCATCTCATGCCCGCATAGCAGTGTATTATTCCTTTCTTTACTATACATCTCATGCCCCGCATAGTGTGAGGACAGGTTAGATGGGGGTTGAGGTCAGGGAGCCTCCGAGTCTGAGGCCAGGCCCTGACAGTTCTATCAAGACATGCTCAGGTCATTATACAACAGCACCTTAATGTGTGACATATGTTCCAAGACATGCATGCTTACTCTGGATCATATCACCATGTTCAAAGATGGCATGTACCCTGAATGCACCAGATGCATAGAAGAAGGTGAGACCAGAATCATTTCCTCATTCAAAATTGTGTTCTAAGTTACCCTCACATAGCTGCAAGGAAGAAGAGTGATGGACAGAGATGTCGACAGCGAACAGGTGTACTTCGCCACCAAATAGTGTATGTTGAGGACAGCCCAGAAGAGGACCCTCTTGCTGAAGAGAAAGGTGTTTTATTGGATCGAGATGCTGCTGCCTCACCACGAGTGTTCCTGATACTGCTGGCATTGTCTGGAATCCAGTCCTTTGTGCGAAAGATGAGCAGCTCCATGTGTCGATCAACAGACTTCCAACCTCCATGCCCTGATGGCATTCGCCATTATAATTATCTTGACTTGCTCAAACTCAGAGCCTCAGATGCGCTAGTCATATATGTCAATTTCAAGCAACCCCCTCGTAAGTTGATGGGCTGCATTGATGTTTGGCTCCAGGAAGATGTCAAGTCCTGGTCAGAATGGATCACCTGGGAGCTTAGGAGAAGGCATGTTATTTAGAAACATCGGTTATTGAGCTCCTTTTACATTTTTTGTCTTTCGCTTGTTTGTGGAAATGCAACATGGAAATTTTTGACATGCATTGCTGTGAGTGGTCTCAGTGAGAAGGAGAGATGGTTGGACCTCATTGAGATTTTCAAACAGTGTAGGATGGGCTGTGAGGAAGGAATGAATCCAGGTCCAGAATCACAGCGATGGGAGGTGCAATGTGAGAAAACAATAGAGAGCACATCTGCTCCCGACTGAGAGAGGCCAAAGTTCAGATAGGGAATAAATATAGAGTACATAGGTCCAAATAAGAGAGATCGTAACCTTGTAACCACACAGCAGTATAAGTAGCTAGACTAATAATATGATGAGACAAAACTAATAAAGGAATAAGATGAGTGGAAGCGCTGCATGTGGAACATGATAAGCAGCTATAAGCAGTGAAATGGTGAGAGGGGAAGAAAAAAATGTAGGACCTGCTATGGAGAGTGGGAATTAATGGCTGGAGGGGAGGTGAAAAGTATGGAAATTGGGAGGTGAGTTTGAGCAAGTGGGCTTCAGAAGCCAACATATAATATAAGGGTCCAACAATAAATAGGTTTTTTTTTAGCAAGAATGGAAAGGAATATGAATTACACACACACCCATTAAAATAGCCTGCCACAACCAGGTGAAGGACACTGGTGTTTGATGTAGACCCCAGATTCCTCAGGTTCCAACTCTTGAAAGAATGCATCATAAGTCCCTCCTAGAAAGGCACTTGCTGCATTCTCCAAATTTTCCCCCAGATTCGCCAGCTTCTCCAATTCATCCACTGCCAACAAAATACACCTTTTCTTCAGGTGGAACACTCGCAACTCTTTTTTCAAGTCCCAATCCTGTCCATTGGGTGCACCGAAGAGTTTGAGGTCGCTGCAAGCAACCCTTGCGATCCAGTGAATGTTGGGATGCTCCCCAAAATCCAGATCCTTGTAAGCTTCAGCACATCCCTCATGCAGGATGGACTGAAGGACATCAGTGAGGGTGTACGATTGGGAGGGTAGCTGGCAATGATCGCTACCCACCAATGTAAACCGGTGTGGAATAACCTCTTTGCAGCAAAATTTGAGAGGCTGGGAGTAAGCATCCCAGGGTTTGCTACATGGTGAGAAAATTTCACACAGGTTCTGAAGGGACTAAGTGATAGATTGGTAAGATGTCAGGATAACATGGATGCACGCTTACATAGAACCCATTGAGCCCTTCTTGGAAGAAACGGCTATGAAAATCACATAAAATCCCTTCATCACTCCAGTAGGCTTGGGGTTACTTACAGGCAAAACCAACCCCCATAAAAATCGGGAACAACATCCCTGGCTGCAGCTGCAGAGAAGGCAGCTTCGTCAAAAACAATTTATCACAGGACATGAATCTATTTAAGGGCTTCATCCTATGCGATGCAGAAAACAAGAGTGAATAAACATACACTTTATGTCCACAGAAGGCCTAACAACAGTGACCCCTTTGAGCCGGATCAGCTCATGAGGGTAGACTTTCAAAGATGAACTGCAAGGAAGAAGGGAAATTTTAATAAAAGGGCCGGCACTGCAGGCGCTAGACCTTGGCAATGTGCTTGAGACTTACAGGGGGTGTTGGTGGAGTTCCTCTGAAATCCCGTTAGCAATGGCTGGGATAGTAGCATCCCAGTAGACCTCCAGGGTCACTTTCTGTTGATAGCATGAGCAGGCAAGAACCAATGAGACATGTCATAGTTCTTACCTCCTCATTGAACTGGATGAGACACAATGTCAACTCTGAGCACTGCAGGATTAACTCTAATTACTTACAGGTGGTAGTTTGGGCCCAATATGGGTTATTTTGCCCTTCCCCCCTTTCTGCACCAGGGTGTTGGCAAAGTCCAGGTCCTCACCTAACTTGGAGTTGTCCATCCAGTAGACACTAAGGAATGCTCAACTACAACCTCCAGTATACCAGGGAGAGTGGATGCACAAATCACCATGGAAATACTCGCTTTCCTTTTCACTGCCCTCACCAGCAACCTTCCACCATACCCAACCTGAAAGTGCATATCAGTTGCATACCTTTCCCAAAGCTTGTTCATTTTTACCCTGGAATGACTCTTTGCTGCCAGATGGCACTGAGCTAGTGTGAGGAACTGTACGTGACATTGTGGGCATCTGTGGCTGTGGCTGTGTCTCATGATGGTGGCATAATCACGGGTTAGCAGTCTGCCCCCCTGTTTGCCACTAGCTGGGAAACCTGGCTGCGCCCAATTGTGACTGCTTTTGCATTCACATGCCTTCCCTCACTGATCGCGGTTTTCTCGTGATTTATCATGCAACTTAGCCTGAACGGATCAAATTACGCTGCCTCAGTCATACACTGAATGTTTTCGGCACAGATGCGCGAAGCGGACCATTCAGTGGAGGTATGTACTGAACTTTCACTGTTGAGGAGAGGTTTCATACTACCTAAGTCGTGCCTATAAAGGGGCCCTGACAGCTCCCCTTTCCCCTCTCCCTATTGCCTGGTATCTCACGCTCCCCTGGTGAGTGAGATTGTCATATCCCGGAATCCCGACCCCACGCACTCCCACCACATCACACCTTCCTAACAACTTCACCATCCCCTACACCAGCCTCCCCACTCTCCAAGTCACCTTCCCTCCTGACTGTCTCAGCTCCGGTCTGGTTGCGGCACACCGAACCTTGGCCACTCCCATCCCGGAACCTCGGTCCCGAGTCGGAACATTCGGAGACCCCGGATTTGCTCCGATACCCCAACGGACCTCCGATATCCCATGACATGCCCTTAAACCCTTCCTCCACCCATTTCATTTATTTGAGTCACCTAACATCCTTCGGATATGCAACTCCGCTTTCGGAGCTACCTGCATCCTTCAGTGATCTCCCTCACGTTATCATTTATTAGTCACCTTCCATTCTTAGCACGACTACCTTTTTACTACCATCCAGTCGGCTAACCCCCTTTGTCCATTTGTCTTCCCCATTCATTTTCCGGCCTTCAACTCCGCCCTCCTTGGCCCGACACCTCGGTTCCCCGTTCTAATATCGTTTGGGACCTTTCGTTACCTTTCGGTACCTCTCGGTATCATTCGGTACCCTTCGGTGTTTTCCCATTTGTCGGTTCGGACTTTGACTAAAGTCCTCCCCATCCTCCTTTTAAATACATGTAGATTAGAACCTGTAGTTCCTCAGTTCTAATCTCGACTAAAATGCCACCCAAAGTCCCTCTGAGTGATTCCCGTCCCCGTTCTACAAGACACCTCAGACATAAGAAATACAAGGACTAACTGAGACGTAACGGAGGCACAGCGCTGAAGGAGCGGAGCTGGATCACCTTATGTAACCAGTTTCCTACGTCCAATAACGATATTAGAGTTTGTGCTGATTTGCGTACTGACCGTGTTTTGGTTGCCAAATATATGATTGTTCACTGTCTAAACAACAATAAACACCCCCCAACGATCTCACCTGATGTATAGATCGTCTACGGATAAAATTCTATATTGACTTTACTATGATTTCTAGTCAATATTACACCTATATTTACCACTTTTCAGTAGGATGTGATTTTCCTGATAATTTACTGAAGGAAAACTGCTAATAAAATAATTCCGCAATAAATGTTACTCAATACAGGAGTGACCAAACTGCTCTTTCTATCGCTTAGAGTGCGTGCTAGTTATCTAGCAGGTTCAGGATCGCTCACTTTTCTCCTGTGGTGTGATAACCAAGTATTGCTGAGAGATTATTCAATTAAGAAGTCCCTCCACCAAATTCTCACTAATTCTCACTATGACACTTTTGTTCAGCTGTGTCTAACTGACCCTAACTCACGCTTAGAGTGACGTGTTAGTTTTATATTAGCTAACAACTAATATTTGCTTTTATCTTTTGGAGCAAACGAACCAACCACTGGTGAGGAGAATTAAACTTTTATTTCTACCTGAGGTTTGAGAGGGGGCAGAAGCGGTGGCCTTTTATGCTTTTCAGAGGCCTCTCTACTCCCACGCCTCGCACTAGTTACATGTGCTACATTTGTATTATAGATAGTTCTAGAATGATATAGGGGCTTGGGCTGTGTAAGCTTAATAATGGACTTAGGACATGACTCAGCAATAAGTAATTCATTTCTTTGTCTTTTGGGCCGATCTCAGCGGGATCTTGTAGCGCTGAAGCTATGCTCTACACCGCCTTAATTACGAACGGTTATCTTTAGAAATGACTCGGCTATAAAGGAACTTTCTAGACTGTTCTCTAATTGACCCCTTTTTGTGAAGCCACATCATTACTAATGTTCTAGAGCCTTCCCAATTAATTAACTGATCCGCGGACTTCTGAATCACTTCATGCTTATGATCCGAGATCCAGATCATCAATCATTCCTTTGTTCCGATTTATTTGGGCTTAAAATCAAAAAGTTTTGATGAATCATGGGAAAATATACAAGATCCGGTTTTTTAGCATTTTCTCCTCTTCTGATGCGATCAAAAACTGTCCGCCCGCGCCGGGGAATACTCTATCATATGGTATTCGGTCCGCCAGACTTCCGGGCGCCAATATATTTCCCTTGAGTCACATTACCTTTTGTAAGAATTAGCAAATAAATATATATGAATTATAAGGTGTTTCGCCGTTTGAGCGATATCTCCGTCAGTTTTGAAGCTTTTAGAATGAAACAAAACCGTGGATAAAGTTAAGAAACAGTCCTTCCAGATGGTAAAAAGATTACAGTCAAAAGTTTACTGGTTCCCGAGATATTTACATTTCTTTCCCAATGTTCCTTCTTATTCTGCCGTCTATGTGCTATTTTCCTGTTGTAGGGATATATTCTTTGAATATTACACCTATGTCAAGTTCTAGGCATGATTGTAGTAGATTAAATCTCATACTACATGGGTGTAGATATTTTATAATGATCTTCTAATGTCTGTCCAGTCTCATAAAGATCATGAGATCTGTTAAACGTCTGAACTTGTCACCTGTTCGTTGACTATTCTGATAGATCATTGTTTTATTCTTTGAATATTATTTCTCCTACAGCGCTCCCTCCGAGTCGCTGAGGCCGCGTCCTTCTTAGAGCCTCTTGTACCATCCAGCAGAACCGGGCTCCCTGAGAAGCTTCGGTTCACTACTGGAGCCCTCGGACCCCCCTCTAGTTGAGCCCCACCTGCATTCGGACTCACGCATTTATCCCCTCTTCCACAACCCGGGTTTTTAACAGAGATCCAATTTGCCACTGAAGGAGAGAACGAAGGAAGGTCAGTTGGGAGGTTCAAACGAGACCACCACCAAGCTGTTCCCTGGTTCTTTAGTTAGGATGGGGAAGTGTGCTAGTATTATTTGTTGTAAATATAGTACCAATCCAAGTGTTTTGGCTAATTCTATTTTTATGGGTTAGTCTAAAGTTTCTGGGAATTGACTTGCAGATAAACCGAGCCCTGCAGAGCTGTTCCTTTATTGAAATTTCTTAATTTGTCTAGGTGTAATTCTGTGTAGCATTGTTTAATTTGGAATTTAACTTGAATTAAATCTTCTACTTGGTGAAGTTTCAAAGATTCTACTCAGTTAATGGATTTGGATTGTGTCTGGAGTGTCCCTTGAGTTTGTTTTATTTTTGTCTTATTTTATTGCTTGTTTTAACAGTAGCAAAATAACTGTTTTGTGTTTACACTTTGAAATCTGGAGTGTTAACCAGCTCTCCTGTTGAATATCTACTTAATATTTCTCTCCTTAATTGCTGCCTTTTACTACAGTGGCAATCTTAACTGTTTATCACTTTTTCGCACTGGAGTGACAACCAGAAATGCTTGAGAAAAATAATACTCTATTTTCTTACTTCTCTGAGGGGGGGCGAAAAGTCGCAGAAAGGGTCTCCCTTTTATACTCCTTGGGTCGCCTTCCTTTTTCACACTCTACCTCCTATTTACAGGATTTATTTACAGTGTATTTTCTCAAACTGAATAAAAAATGAAATTTTCACGCTATAGTTCTACTGCGCTGAACTGCGGCTCTACTGTGGTCAGACTGCGCCTAGAATCCTTATTGTCCTTCCTTGCCTAAGCTATTTTAATGGTTAATTAAAACTTGACTGCACTGCATTTGTCACAGTTTTCCTATTTCAAATTCCTCATATTTACCATTAAATTTGCTATGACTTGGTGATTCTGAATTCAAACTTCGCATTACTATGCGTGTGGCTGCGCTGAGACATTCAGCTGATTTATTCCATTTTTATTCAGCAACATTTAGTTAAAATGAGACTTGAAATGGTAAATGAGTGAATTGTTCAGGTTTAAAACCGAAAGGCAAAGTTGCTAGTAGTCAAGAATTACTCAAACTAATGTATTATAGCTCTCCACTTCATTAGAATATCGTTCCCTAAAATTCCCACCATGGTCCATCGTAGTTTAGTGGTTTTCGTGGATTTCATTCATCTTCCCTGATTCCCCCTTGTATTATCACATCCTAATCCTCCATATGTATTGTTCGTTGTTATAGTAGGTCGTCCTCGAAGATATCATATTTTTATGTATTTTATTTAGGGCTCTGGACCTCTTGAAGCTGTTTTCCTGTGCATTTTCAGGTTTCTAACTTCATGTCCTAGTATCTCATTCATTTCTGGATGGTTTCTCGCGTTCTTGGTATCATAAATTTTCATTTATTCCCACCTTTCCAATGGTACTAAAGTTGTGTTCTATTTCCTGGTATTCGTCGAGTTAGCAACAGTTTGCATGCACATTCAGTAATCACGTGCATCGTTCCCATAGTCGTTCGTATGCGGGTGCTGTTTCTGTTTACTTGTTCGGGATTTATGATATGCGCAGGTGTTTATATCTTTCATATGGGCTTCTGTGATTTATTTCAGATTTTTCCCTCATGATCTAAGGTTGTTTTGCACTTTCCGTGCTTTGTTTTGACCGGGCTCTTCCTTATTTGGATGGAAATTGGTCTTCGCAATCTGCCGAAGTGCGGATCTCGGTTCCGATGGCCGGTTCCCTTCGCATTGCCACCCTCACGTGTCATTAAACATGATGCGGATTTCTATATTCCCGTCATGGGTATAACTTCACAGCAGCTGGACCATTTGGGCTGAAAATTTGCATAACTATATTTCCCTATTTTTCATAATTTCCGTGTAAATTTCGTTGTATGTTGTAATTATGGATCCTACGCAAACATCGTCTTTTCCCTGAGCTTGGACTTTGGATGTCGCTATTCCCGTTATTGGATATCTCATTAATGCATGATCCTTTTATTATGAAAATTTGGGTGGATTAAGATTAGATCCCTTCCTTTCTAATGGGCCATCAAGCTCGTCTCGGTCGTTACTGGTTAGTCTTTGCGCTTGCTTTTTAAACATTGTCCTCATTTTGCAGGAGTTTTAGTCATATCTCCGTTGTTTGTGGGTAGTTTTCCCTGTAATTACTTCCATTGGGTCCGTTTGGGGGACATCTTCATTTCCTATTATAAACACGACTTTGAATTTTGCATTAGTTCCTGAGGAATCCTTGTTCCGTGGTACTTCCATCCTTGGCTATGTGTGCAGACGTGGGAAAGTAGTTTCCATGGAGGCTCTCTGATTGTTGCTATAGTCAAATCTTGGTCGATTGTCCTAATTCTTTCTTTAATATTTGGTATAAATTCCCCCGAGAATTCTGTCTTGTTGATGCTAAGCTTGAAGTATTTTTGCTAATTTTCTTTCTTTCAATTTATCGCGTATAGTCATAATAATTCGTAAAAATTCGTAAAAATTCATTAAGATTCATTAAAATTCAGGTCCTTCTATTTTCTCATATCTACTTGTCGTATGG